TATTTATAAATTAGATTTTGTGAGAAGTAAAAGGAAATAAATAAGAACATTCATAATTAAGAAAAGACTGAACAGTTATTTTTTTGAAATCTATAAGATATCTAGGTAAAATGGTGAAGTATGTATTATAATGTTAACAAATGTTAATGTGTACGCATTATTTAATTAGCGCCATTATCGCCAATGTTTTTTTTTGTTTATAAATACTTCTAAACAACTGTTTATATAATGTAAACTATATATTTATGAGTGTTTTAAACAAGGCTGTAGAAACTTCTGTTGCAATCTAAATGCAAAACACAATTTAAATTATTTTAACACGTACTCGTTTCACATGAGACAAATTCAGTCATACACATTATTATTTGAGTAATGCCTAAGAAAATCCTTCAAATTTTGAGACCTCGATAGTTCAATGTTTTCAACACACTTCTATTACATACTTACGCATGTTGAATACTATAATAACCCTTATATTTGTTTAAGAAATTTTAGACAATACATTACGTGCTCGCATTAATTCTTACTTTCAACATCCCTATTATCCTAACCTTTTTTCCAAACGGGGTTGGGTCGGCTTTCAGTCCTCTACAACACGAACAATTCTAAATTTTACCAAGTTGATTACAGTTACAAGGCGTAGCGCTAGAGTTAACTATGCATTAAGCTATAATTCACCATACACTGACACTGAAAGCTAATAAATAAGTGAACTTTCATAAGAAATTAAGAATGAAGAAAAAGACAACCTTAAACTTGTTAATGGGAAAAACGGTTTTGCAATTCTGTAATATTATATTTCTTTGTCGTCGTAAAACCGGACCTCACTAAGAAACATAAACATTGCAATTTACTCAAGAAAGTGATTGGGGAAAATCTTAAATAACAGTAATATATTGTTCTGGCGTTTGTGGGCACAATTTGGGAACACTGAGGGAAAATCGTGTCTGAAACATATAAGCTTTGTGGATTCAAGTGACACGTATTACATAAGTGAGAATTTATCTTTTTAATATGTTTTATTTTTTTGCTATATATAATAAAATGTCTATAGTTCCTACAACTTTCACATAATTTAGTTTTTAGTTTTGAGACAAAGCGAATGCAAAGTCAACATTTATTAGTTAGTACATTATGAAGAAACGGGCGGTTGTAGATCGGTACAAACATAAATGGATTGGATTTATTTGTACACACATCAACTTAAGCCTCCTTTCTGAGGAGAGGCCTGTGTCCAGCAGTGGACTACTAAAGGCTCTTGATGTGATGATGTGACATCAACTTAACATTTTGATAAACATAGATTTGATTGATATTTCAACGCGGGTTATAAATGTCGGCTAAAATGACAAATTATTGACACGTTACCAATTATCAGCCGTACGAAACAATTCTCCCACACCAAAAAAACCAAAACCCTTAACCACCTATTTAACCAAGATACTCAAGTATCTCACTATAATGTAATTGTAATAAATATAATTCGATATTTTACTTGCGGTTTATCCCTCCCAAACCGACACTGTTTTGTGGTGCGTGAAAAAGCCATGAAATCCCTAGGTAAATAATTCTAGCTAGCTTCAACCACACTTCTATTTAGAAGTACGAATTTGTGTCAGCATGCCTTTGAGACATTTATTTAGGGTTCATTAAATTAATTAATTCTTGATAATAAAAACGATTGCGATTTTCGAATCTGAAGTAATAAGTATACTGCGTAGAGCCACAAACTAATCACGCACTAAAAATAAACCAGAGATTTTATTTAAGGGGCAAATTACTTTTTATTGAACATAGCAAAGTCGGTCACGTACTAGTACATGCTTCATCTTGATCCTTCGTCACTTGATTAAAGTTGCGTCAGCGTCCCCAGTTGGTTTAATTTCCGAAACGGTTGGTTTGCAATAATTCAACCCTTGTCCAACCTATTGATTTATAATCTTGACAACAAACTTGTCAAGTGGTAAATTAAGTTGACGAGCTTGTAGAATGAGTAGTCTAGTGTTAATCTTAGTCTAGTCTTGTTTAGTGTTGAACTAAGGTCCTTATAACAATCCTGATTTGACTATAACAAGGGGAAAAAAAGTATTTGAAAATTTCTATCGATAAAATTGATTTTAGTCAGTTCACATTCCTACGTTCACAAAAATTCACCCAAATAATAATGAATCTGAGTATGAGATCTGCCAAAATGATACCGAATTGTAAACTAATAATATAAATATTCTAAATTAGTCATATTGTGCGGTTTTTCTACGTTTTGCTGTAAGATTACGTAAAAAAAAACGTGTCAACGTGCAATAATGCAGTGATTTCAAAGAAACTTATGATCTATTTAACATGGACAGTACAAAAAACGTAGATCAGCAGGAAAACAAATCAACGTTAGCTAAACACTGGAACAGACGGGCTTATTGGCTACTGTTTTATGCTTTACGTATTACTAATATGGAATTAACTCTAAAACAATCAGTTCTGAATGGTATTGATAGGATTTGGACGTGCTTTAATGTGAATAGCGAAGTGATTTCTATAGCGTGTGTATTAATCATTTGATCAATTTATTCGAAGCTGACATAATCCAAGAGTTTATTATGATACTAATCACCTAGTTAATTGCATGAATGATAACTAATAATGACACAATTATGTTTTTTTTTGTTTAAATATTATTACTATTATTTTATTAATTATTTTAATTTCAAATACAATGTAATTTGTTGATGCATAAATGACTATGACTATGTCACTAAAACTTTGGTTTTCCCTTAAATAGTGCAATATCTGATCTGAGAGTATACTCTGAGAATCTGATCTTAGGTCAAATTTATTTCTTTACTTCAAGTAGTCAATTTAAAGGTGGCCTAGACAAGTATTTTTCGAAAATTTATAAAAGGAAGTCACCTACATTTTTTAACAGACACATTACCGGTCTCTGTAATGTAAAAGTATTTTCATCTAGTCTTAATACAGTAGGAATTATTTATATCCTTGAAAGTTTTTTAACGTTTCTTTTTCTTTTACGAGTACTGGTCTGTTACTTTAACCACCTGGTGGTATTTTTGTGAGGCGGTGGTATCACTCGGGTCGAGCTGACCTATAAGTGCGCAGGCATGGTTTTCCCTTTGCCTGACTCTGAATCTGTTTTCATTCATGGTTAAACAGATTAAGATTATTTATGACTTGAGTTAAGTCTAATGATTTATTTGCAATAAAAAAGTAAAACAATCTCAGATTAGTACTTTAAAAAGAGAATTGATTTTTGGTGCTCTTATTTTACTTCATTTAAAAGGGCTTTCGAGAATTCGATTGTTAAATTGTGTTTTTTTTAATTTTTATATTATTTAGTTAAAGGTTTTATGTAGAATATTAAAAAAAACATAGTTTCTTGTGAAAAAATGAACAAGGTATACTGAGTGGCGACTTCCACAAACCGGAGCCCATGATGCTAAATGTTAATTTACTAGAGCGTCATGGGGACCTATTGCATTTGAAAGATTAGGTAGTAGAATAAATAAAAGTTATAAAATGTATCCATCCACTATTTCAGCGGTGGGACAAGCTTCTATATATAAAAATGTAAGAGGAAGAAATCAAAAAATAAATATTCGGGCGCATCAGATATTTTGCAGATATGTTATTTGGACGCCAAAAATGATCCCATTGAAAATGCAAACTGCAAATTCGAAAAATCGGTTCAGTTTGATGTTCCTCTCATACTAGCTAAAAATCTGAGGATAATTTTGCAGGGTATTTTAAATCTGACGATTAGAAGTAAGTAAGATTTTTTCGATTTTTTATAAAATGTGACAAATAAAGGCACGAAAAATTATGTAGACATTGAAAAAAGATTTCCTGCATTGTCTACTTCAAAATAAAAATAAAAGTCAAGATCATGGGGTTTCATGATCAATCCCTTCTAGGGCTCTCCTACTATCAGTACCATCTAACAGAAATACACTAAACTGAATTATTCTTTTATTTTGTGACGTTTCGTTAGCACCTCTATAAGCATGGATTCTACAATCATTTGAGATGACGATGTGTGCTTTTACGTAACATAGGACAGCCCTCTTTATAAATAAAATTACCTACGTCTCCCAGCGTTGTCGAATACGCTCGCTACGCTTATTCTTTAGTCAATATTTAAGCGAATGTTGTGATGCGAAGCGAATTCTTATATTTACAGATAAAGAAAATGTTTGTTACAAGTTTTTGTATAGTTGGTTACACACACACAATAAGACTTCTATTACAGAGATTTAGTTCTTGCTACACCGGTCGCGTGTGTTCTATGTATTTCCCAATGCAAACATATTTTTACTAATTTACAAATATTTAACACAATTACATAATTCAGCTTAATAATGTAATTGTAATAAAGTGAAATCGAGGTATTTATGTAGAATATTTAACTCAATGCGAATGGATATTCAACCCACAAAATAAACATGTGTGATGTTGTTGATAGTACTCCTAAGGCATATATATTAAGGGCGCTCTAATTTATCTATCTCGAAGTTTAATACAACTTTACCCCAACTTTCACATACAAAGGCAACGTGACCTTGTACTAAGTAAATGTATGTAATTAAATCCGTCGCACATATTTTTAGATTCAGATAGTCGTGATACATTTAGATTAATTGTATTTAGAATTTGACTTAATAAATCACTTAGTTGGTGTAATGTAAATACTTATCTAATAATTTTCTAAGCTGAAATATTACTTTAGAATATTTAATGTTTTAATAAGGTCGCAATTATAATTATGTTATACATATACATGTAGTATGTTAAAAATAAAGCATATTTAAAAAATTAAATGAAAATAACAAGAAGGCTTTTTTTGCTTTTAAACTTTTTGACAATGCCCGTGTTGGTAGAAACAGCTTTGTTAATAAATACTGTACTAACCACACATATTTTTGTTTCAGGTAACACCAAATGTGTGACAATGTGGCTACATTCTCGTTTAAGTACAAAATAACACCATAATAATGGATGAAAAGATTTCAGGCCCCGGTGGGGCCTCACAAAAGAACTGGTCTTACTATAATATAAGTGATGAACTGCCTCTAGACATGAGGTTCAACCATGGACATATGATTTCAATGACAGTGTATAGTGTACTCATGGTGATATCAGCTACTGGCAACCTGACAGTGCTGTCGCAGTTGATGAAGCGGAGGAGAGCAGGCAGGGCGAGCCGGCTTGATGTCTTGCTGATGCATTTAGCTGTAGCGGATCTTATGGTAAGATGATTTTTTATTTTTTTTTTGTTTAAAGAGACAAATATTTCTAGCTGAATTAGAGTTACCCTACGCAAAAAGTACTGATACAATTGTTACGTGTTAGAGTTCGCTGATTTGGAATAATAAACCTTTTGGACTTTATAATTACTACACTTAAAAACGTTCAACAATACTGAAGAATAGAGCTGGAATGATCGCCGAGGTCGCTGGGTCACACTTCTATTTGCTTCTTTCACTTCGATTTTTATCGTACTGTAGCTGCCCATATTCAATTCTCTCTTTCATTCTAACTATCAAAAACCGCTGTTAAATAAAAAAATGCACACAGTATAGTAAGTTGAGGTTATGTAAGTATACACTGATTTTATAAAGGCCTTTGACACTGTTAGTCACAGTGTTTTTTTTGTGATACGTTCCATTTCATCATCATCAACAGCCTTCAATAGTCCACTGCTGTAGGCCTAGGCTCCCTAGAAAGGAGGTTTTGGCCTACAATACCACGCTGGCCAGACGGGTTGTTATAGGGATTTTTTCAAGTTTTCCTTCTGTTTGCAGTGCTGTTGTCCTGCGTAGTTTACGCCCCTAGTCGCCTCTTACGACACCCACGGGATGAATAGGGGTGGTGACACTCCGTACTCTTAATCCGCCACCACACCGACAAGTTCCATTTACTAGGCCTAAATATTCAAGACTAGAGTAAATAGTACGAGAAAAAGTGGTAGGTTATACGTAGCTTGCCGTGGGAGAGCCATGCTTCGGCACGCATGGGCCGGCTCGACTGGAGTGATACCACGGCCTCACAGGAAACCGGTGTTAAGCAATTCTTTCGTTGCCTTTCACTAAGTAAGTGAGGTTACCGGAGCCCAAATCCCCTCGCTAATTCGAGCGGGAGGGACTCCAAGGGCAGTAACGCACTTGTGACTTTTGAGTTGCAGGTGTCCATGGGCGGCGCAAGTTGCTTACCAGCAGGTGATCTGTCTGCTCGTTTGCCCCCTTATACCATGAAAAAAAAGCTTACAAATATAATTCCAAAAATATAATACATATAATAAAAACGTGTATTGGATGTACGCAAGTCGTCACACCTTTCAAGATTGCATTTATTGGTTTAGTAAAATACCTATTAAGGTTATATAAAGAATTGTGGAGACGTGCCAGAGTTACATCTAATTTAAAGGTAAATAAACTTGAACACTTGAGTCTGTGTCTGTGACAACTGGAACTTAAATAAAATACTTTTATTGCGAATTTTATTTTGAAATATTTATATAAGTGTACTCACCACTTAACTGCACCATATTTGCTGAAATAGAGTTCCACCATTTTGGCGTATGGAGGCAACTGGTTTTCAATCATGTAGCATGTCAATTATTTTCTTGGTCTTTGGTTCCTCTCAATACACTGTATCCGCGGGTGTCCAAGAATAAAACAACTTATTAAGTCGATCGTTCACTATGAAATTTTACATCAACTTTGCGAAAATTAAATATTTAATTTACTGAATTACTAATATCTTTAACAGTTCTGTGGTAGTATTACTATTTGAATATATTTATAACATGATATAGAGTCAAATCTTTTGTGAATAGATTTTAAAATGATTATTTAAACAAACACGCTTAGTATAAGTCGAAACCAGTCGTATCCTAATATTAAGTACCTACTAAGCGTGTACATCATCCTTTGTTTCAAGTTAGCCTAGAATTTACTGAGGAAAGACTTCAGGTCCATGTGGATCTCTAGACTAATAATTTGTAGCCGTATCTACAGGTATACATTTTTTTTAAACGCCACTTCACTAATGTACACGGGAATAGACGCAATCAATAGTTTTCGATCGAATCGGCAATATTTTAGATGTAATTCAAATATGTGTTGTACAAAGAGAGCTACAAAGTTGACAAACAGTTGATAATTAATTTAAAAAAAAAAAAAAGTTATTTTTTCTTGATTATTTTTCACCAAGCACGAAAAGCAGTTTATTCTTACGACCATACGATTCATTTTTGAAACAAATTATTTCGCTAGTAATCTATGATACGAATACACTTAAGTCTCTTAATGAAATTGGAGATCACGTTTTCAGTAACCGCAATCTGTAAAGCAAAAGGAAATATAAGTTATTCATAGTAAATGTCCTTTGATAGAAATCAAATCCGACGCCTAATTTAAATCAAGGTCTCCCCGGAGTTGTCGCCGTAACTTGAGTTATATTTACATTCGAGTCTAAAAGCGAATTTTCATAAATTAGAAAAAAAGCATTTTCATTTGTAACCTAGTGGTTGGTTCCTCTTGATTTCTTGCAATCTTCGAATTTCGTGAAAATAGCCAATCTTTGTTATAAGAATGTAATTACATTAGTAACTAGCTGACCCGCGCAACTTCGTCTGCGTCTCTCAATAGTAATAAATTTTCTCCGTTTTTGAAACATTCTTCTTTGGTGCTCCGCTCCTATTGCTCTTAGCGTGATGATATATAGCCTATAGCCTTCCTCGATAAATGGGCTATCTAACACTGAAAGAATTTTTCAAATCCGACAAGTGGTTCCTGAGATTAGCGCGTTCAAACAAACAAACAAACAAACAAACAAACTCTTCAGCTTTATAATATTAGTATAGATAATAATAATAACTTCACTCATCTATCTGATTCCAAACTAGGCAGAGCCTGTACTATGCTCACCAGACAGCTGACAAACATACTTGGATATTTCGAAATTCATATTAGGTCTTTACCTATGAAATTGCCGTTTTGTATGCAATAAGTGAAAGTACTTATTTTTTCAAACTTTTTTATTTCTGTTATTCGAAGTAATCACCCATGCAATCGACGCATCTTTGCCAACACATTGGCAGTTTATTGATGCCCTTCTTGTAAACATCAGCTGGACGGGAGGCAACAAACTCTGCAAAGGCATTTTGTACTGCCACTCGGAAATTGAATTTTTTACCCACTAAAAAGTTGTCTAAATTTTGGAAAAAGTAATAGTCGGTAGGTGCAAGGTCTGGTGAGTATGGCGGATGAGGGAGAGCTTCCAACCCCAGCTCTTGCAGCTTGGAGACTGTCTGTTGCGCAGTATGGGGTCGCGCGTGGTCGTGAAGGAGCAGTGGGGACGACCGATTGACCAAAGCTGGTTGCAGATGTGACCACCAGACCTTGCACCTGCCGACTATTACTTTTTCCAAAATTTAGACAACTTTTTAGTGGGTAAAAAATTCAATTCCCGAGAGGCAGTACAAAATGCCTTTAAAGAGTTTGTTGCCTCCCGTCCAGCTGATGTTTACAAGAAGGGCATCAATAAACTGCCAATGCGTTGGCAAAGATGCGTCGATTGCATGGGTGATTACTTCAAATAACAGAAATAAAAAAGTTTGAAAAAATAAGTACTTTCACTTATTGCATACAAAACGGCAATTTCATAGGTAAAGACCTATTACATATTATAGATAAATGACATCCAGACACAGAACCAATTATCGTGTTCAACACACAATTATTTGTCGTGGGTGGGAATCGAACCTACGACCTCCGACTCAGCATGCAGGGTCACTAACCACTAGACCGACATATTAAAATAATGTTAATTTATTCAATGGAATCCTGTTGAATTCTCCACTCAGTACCCAACAGCATATGTCCATCTCATTGGCTATGGTTTAGAGAATGGAAGAACTGGAGAACTTAGAGAATGGTCCGCCAGCAACATCAGTGGTCGCCGTCGCCACACATACCTATCCGCCACACACAAGTACACTTGCCTTAACATTTTTTTTAAAGAGACTAGTCCCTCCCACACGCTCACTATTGTAACTCCTGTGCACCAGGATCAACAGCAGTGACCTACAAACACACCGAGTTATGACACTCGGGAAGTCCCAGGAAAAAAAAACTATCTCGGAACCCGCAGAAAAATTAATCAGAAGAAAATTGGAGGAGTTGGAGGACTTGTCTTAACATATCAGCATCGTGAACTTTTCCTCTAATTACTTTAAAGATATGTGTAGTGAGTGCGAGCTCCCTTTTAGCACTCAGAGTGTTATATCCTACCATTCCCAATTTCAATAAAATTGGGTACTTTTAATGGGTACGGAATATACACCATACTGACACCTATATAAATATCTCATAAATATATTAGCTATCTACTGCACCATGACCTTATATTTAGATTCACAAGTAGCGTTATATAGAATAATGTAATGTTACTAAAATTATATATATATATACATAACAGCTCGCAGTATTGTTGCAGGTGACATTCCTGATGATGCCATTGGAGATAGCGTGGGCGGGGACGGTCCAGTGGCTGGCCGGCGACCTGATGTGCCGTGTTATGATGTTCACGCGCACCTTCGGCCTGTACCTCTCCAGTTTCGTCCTTATTTGTATCGCAGTTGATAGGTAAGTGCTTTTTTTTTAATATGTGGTTATCCTAATGGCACTATTTAACCGAAGGATCAATTATTTTGTTTAGTGACCGTACCCCATACCGCTTCTCTGATCACGATCTAAAACGTTTGTATGATCTCACGTCTATGATGCAAATTTGATGAACCTTCTTTAAATTTTTAATAATAGAAAGAAACATTATCGTAGTAAACATGATGTTATTTTATTTTGTTGGTATAACAATATGGGTATGAAATCATCATTCTTTATTTTGTTTATGATGTTTTGTGATCACGTATTTTGTCGCCATTTAATTCATCAACAGTAATGTAAAGAAATAAGTTGTTCTACGTTTAAAGTGAAAAATAATCAATAAGTTATAGAAAAAAATAATTAAAAAGACTTAAGATGTATTTATGTCAAAAGTAGAAGTTATCTCATAATAAAATAACTTTTGACTATTATTGGGTTTATAGATCATAAAAAAAACAAATCAGAAATTTATTAAAGACCACTACTTTTATTTAGTGCTTAATTATTCATCAAAACATTATGAAATAAGTACGAACACACTTTATACGTCAGTACACGATGCTAAGGAGTACTACAGAACATTCAAGAGCCACCCACTTCCTTTTTATTTTAAATCAAAAGAAACCAGTGGAACATTTACAGACTACAGACTATAAAGTGAAATTTCAACACGGTTGTTTGGAGTTTGAGTAAACAATTTATTTATTAAATTGGTTGGGGATTAACTTTGACTAAGAGTTATTGAAGTATTTCGACCTCTCAAAATTAATTTCTATAATTATTTACAAGTTTTATGCTATTACGTAGGCACAGAAGACATAGTGATCTGGTATATTTATTTGTAATTTAGAGTTCAATTAATTATAATTTAGTAAATGAAAAAACAAACGCTTAACAAGAACCCAATTTTAAAAGGTAGATTAGAGTTCTATTATCTATCTCTTTGTTTCATCATCAGAGCCGCTTTACCTTTAGCAGCTCTTGCTAGAAGGAAACCCAGGGTGTTCATTTGCCTTAATAGACGATATCGACAAGACAGTATTTTTGTTTCTTTATTAGGCTGAAACGGATAACTCTGTTTTTGTGAACATTTCTTTTCGCTATTTCAGATACTACGCAATCCTAAAGCCACTGAACGTGACATGGGAGTCGCGTGTACGTAGAGCATTGATCATCTCGTGGGTGTGTGCCGGCCTTGCCAGCTTACCGCAGAGCTTCATCTTTCATCTAGAGGAACATCCTTATGTTAAAGGGTATGTATTGTGATTTGGATATTACCATCATCATCGACGAGTTTTAATAGTCCACTGCTGGACATAGGCCTCTCTTTAGAAAGGAGGTTTTGGTCTAATACACCACGCTGGACAGACGCGTTGGTAGAGGGTTGATTTCAAGTTTTCATTCTCTATGCAGTGCTGTTGTCCTACGTAATCTGCTGTCTTAGTCGGCTTATACGACACCCACGGGATGAATAGGGGTGGTGACACTCCGTACTCTTAACCCGAACGGACATTATTTGGACATTAAACGAGTCAGTCAAATTTATTGTCTGTTTAATAATAATAAGAAACTAGAAATACATACATATTATAGATGAATAACAGTCAGACACAGAACAGATGATCGTGCCTATCCACCACGTGCCTAACCATTAGTCCTGGGTTGAAATCGAACCCAAGACCTCTAGCTTAACAAACAGGATTTTTAACCACTAGACCACCCTGAATTAAACACACACGCACACACACTAATATGTACTCGTATGTGACGGTAATGACCAATGTAAAGATCACCATTTACGATAGTTAACTGTCCCACGCCGCCAAAGTCATTCCCGCTTTTTTAAGCTTCAATAAGGATTATTATTCTTTGAAATTTCGTTACACGTGATATCTCGTTGAAACAATTAATTTTATAAAAGCTTTACTCAGTTGAAAACTCAATTAATTGAGGTTTAATCACAACAGTATTCTGTTCCACACTTTTTTAGAGTTCCGTTGACGAGTCCACGTTCCGTTCAAGGAACTCTTATAGTTTCGGTTTGTCAAATTCAAACTCAAAATATCTTTATTTCATAAAAAAAAATTGAAATCAATCTGTCTGTCCATCTGTTTTTCCGAGATTCAGTTGAGAGACAGTTAACACTAGATATCTGTAATATACTCGTAATATTCACCTTATTTAAAATTATGATTTCTTAGTCAGCTTTCAATAATTTATGATTTTGAAATGAGATTTAGATCTAGTATCGCTAAATACCGCGCCTTTCTTTTTAACCGACTACAAAAAAGGAAGAGGTCCGCAATTCCTCGGAATCTTTTTTTGTGTATGTTTACAATTCTTTTTTGTTTTAAATTTTTATTGAAACCCCCACGGATCATCACTTAACCAGAGCTGAGGGTGAGGTAGTATGTCGAACTCAAACCGACTAAACCACAGGGGGAGTTTCAAACTTTTGAGAACCATCTAACAGGAGAGAGCCATACTTCAGCACCATCACCAAGTGTGAAGGCTCTTGACGGTACCAAGGCCTAACAGAAAATTGGTATTAAGCAGTTTTTCATTGCATTTTACTGAGTAAGTGAGATTACCGAAGCATAAACCCCCCTTTTTTTTCCGTGTGGAAATCCCTTCGGATACCACCTATCGGTGGCATGTCGGACACGAACCGACTAAAACCGCACGCCGTCTCGGGTACTAATAGCCGGGGAACCAGGTATACCCTAGAAAGGAAGTCCCTGGTGCCCCGACATACCTCGGGCCATCTACAACAACAGGTAGACGACCTCCCAGCATAAACCCCCCTTATACTAAGAGGACAGTCAAAGATCGGCGCACTGTGTGACTCTCAAGTTACAGGTGTGGATGGGCGGCATTAGTCGCTTACCATCAGGTGACTTGTCTGCTCGTTTGCCCCCCCCCCCTATCTTAAAAAAAACAGTAGTCCAGTGGTAGCGTATGCGACTGCTGTGCTGAGCTCTCGGGTTCGATTCCCGGGTCAGACCAAATGTTTGTAGGATCTGCAAATATTTGTTTCGGAGTTTGGGTGTTTTCTTTGAATAATATGTATGTATTTACAAAAAAAAGTATTTAAGTTTTCTATTAGTCAATCTAGCTTTCATAGTACAAGTTCTGCTTAGTTCGATATTAGATAGCGTTGTGTGTTAGATGTCCGAAAAAAGATTTTATTGGAGAGAACCCGAGAAATACGACTGAACCCTGGCTTATTGAAAGAAATACAAAAATATTTAAACAAGCCTTTTCTAGTACATTTATAATTTCTCAAGCTTATTTGACGTAAATAAAACATAATTACATAAGGAGTAGAAATATGAGGCTAAGATAATTTAATTTGTGTAGGGTGTTTCCATTAATTTACATTAATTAATTACCTAAACAGTTCCAGCTTCCATTAGTTTGTTTTAAATCTTGATTAGCTTAGTTAATTTTTACATTAAAATATAAGTTGTAAAAATGTTGTGACCCATCGACACCAGCAGAAAAAAAAATTGCTCCCTCTCTGGCACAAACCCTCCTATCACCGACAGAAATTATAAAAACGAAGTAACACCTCTTTCAAACTCATATATAGCCCATTAAACATAGATTTTAAATAAATAATTGGAAAAGAAGATGCATGACCGCACACAAATTATTTGTGGTTGATCTAAATTCAACCAACTGGTCTCAAAGAGTCTTCACAGTTATCGATTTTGTGTTCATTTGTCCCAGGTACATTGGTAGGTACATTGACCACTGGTCTTACCCTTTGGTCTTCTAATAACCTTCTTGTACCGATTAGAACCGTAAAGATAAGATTAATTTGCAAAGACTTTAATAGTAGATTAGAGTTACAATAAAAACTTCCGTGAGTTGTCTTCATATTTAATGAGGTCGATGTCTGACAAACAAAAAAAATCGCCTCGGGTCCAACACTAGTCGTGTATCCTCAAAACACACGTGAGTTAAGCCAATTATCTTTTGTTACATTAATTTATGTAAATAAGGTACTATAATAATGTTATTTGTTTTTTTTTACAAGAGTTTATAGGAATGCCCGTCTTTAACGAATACGTCTTTATCACGTCTTTACTTCCAAGGGGTAAACAGAGGGGTATTAAACGCCCATATTTTAAAAATATGCTGAAATCTTTTATCCTTATTTTACTTTTTTTTTAAACAACTTTTCCCGTGGGACTATCAAAGTTCAGTCAAAGGAGACCTCTCCACTAAACGCAAAATTGCCACTCCACTCGAAGAAGTTTTTTATCATAAAAGTAAACATCGCGACTTGTATCAAACTTTGCTAAACAAATTTGCTCAAGCCAGATACTTGCAAGTTCACAGAGAGAAATTGTCAAAAGTAATGCTCATAGACAAATAAGTTTATATCATCATCATCTGCCTACCCTTATTCCAATTTTATTAAATAAGTTAAAGTAAAGGTAATTTTATTATAAATTACAAGTTAAGGAAAATAAGTTTCCCTGCAGTAAAAATGTTTTTATAACTTCACCCTGAACTTTAATGCTAGCGAAATTCCATGTTATTTAAGATGGAGATAAATGGTAAAAAAGACTACAGATAATAAATACAACGTTTATAAAAAAAAATTTTTTTATAAAATATAGATTTTAGCCATGTTTAATGTGCTGTGGAAACATGTATGTAAGAAACAAATATACTGTATTATTTCTAATTACACTACATCTAGGTACAGCTACATCATAGTTATGTTTTTTGGAAATGTTTAGAATTAATAAAACTGAGGCGATGGCGTAATGGTCAATTGCGATCAAATGGTTGCGGAAAGTTTTTTTAAAACAAAAAAGATAAATTTAAGTGACAAACATTAAATTACTTAGGTTTGAACTTTCATCTCTATATTTTTCGTATTACTCTCATAAAAATACAACGCGTGTTCCAAACACGACGGCAATTCACATCATGTCATGTAAAAATTTATACACAACAAACGATAGATTATTAATATAGATATAAATAATGGATAAACGAAATTCGGTTGTATATAAATGGCATAACAAAAGCACATCAGGTAACTGATTGATTGAATGTCAATATTATCGGAGAGATGTGTTTTAAACTGCGTATCCTACTAAACGTACCTACTCATTATAATGGGAAACGAATGGGAAAGAGATTGATGATTTATTATTGACTAGGGTTTTATAGGACTGCTATGATAAAGTGCTTCATGCTTTTTAACACAACACACACAAACGTAATCTATTATGGAATATAAAATGTATCTATTTCGGCAATAAATTAAGGCAGAGATTCCCAAAGTGGTCGATATCGACCCCTTAGGGTCGACATAAACGAAAACTGACGAGGTCTAAAAATTGACCCCTATTATACAACTTCTTATTTGAAACTTTCAAGATACTGTATAAGTGTGATTATTAATGTTATTTTCTAAACATAACTACCTACTTAAGTATTTTAATTATTAATTTATTTAGTATCCTCATGCATCCCATCCTCATTACACTTGATATTTATTGAATTTTATGTCTATTCATTTTGTAAAATTTTGTTGAGAAATTAATGTCTAGTTTCCTCACTTAACCAACGGCAAAGTTTTTGAATTGGTTAATATTTTGTATTAATAGATAAAAATTTAAGATAGGCTTTTTAAAGTAATTTGCCCATGGGGGCCTACGGTATCAGTTCATTCTGGAAAAGAGATTTCTTGCCCAAATAGTTTGGGAATCCCTGAATGGAACTAAAAATTATAGTCGCCAAAATGTAGGCATTTTAATACACCTTCCTGCTCCTTCGGGAACAAAATACGTGAGTGTATATCAGTATATTATATGATAGCAATCCGATTTGTCACATCTCCAAATGTGATATAACCTAATTCAAAAACCATTTATTAGCTAAATGTCTTGACCTGTGACCTCTGAGCCAGAGGTCACAGATCACAGGTCAGTAAACAAAATTAAATAGTACTCGTAATCACAGGATCGCTATGTCAGATTGATTACTCTGTTACATGTTACAAATTTCCAAGAAAAGTCTTAATTTTACAGGTATTTCCAGTGTGTTACGTATGGATCATTGCCGACGGAGTCCCACGAGTTGGCATACTTCCTAGTCAACATGATCCTCATGTACGTGATCCCACTGATGTCCACTCTGTACTGTTCATCAGCAGCTTTGCTCGAGATTATACGAAGAGCAAATCAATCAAATGGTGAGTCCTACAATGTCTGAAAAAAAAAAACAGCCTAAAAAATACATTGTATTATTTAGGCTATATATATTGTACCTTAAAAAGAGTCGGCAGTAGTGTAGTCTACTTCTGATACATAATTAGCCGGCTTGGCCGGAATGATCCCACGACCTCACAAAGTACCGGTTTTAAGCAAATTTTTCTTTTCTTTTAGCCGACTCTAAAAACCTCTTCCAGGTTATCAATTTAGATTTAGATATATTTTTTTAATACAAAATTCCTTTTCAAAAATATTTTTTTGTTCGAAAGGAGTTTATTCCGAAATGAAAATTAAAATTCATATAGATCTGATGATGAGTTTCGTAGAAAGACAACGGCAATCTTCAAAAAATGACAGCAAATCAATCATGATTGCTGCTAGGTTTCTAGTGCTCTTTATTAGTATTGTTTGAAGTTGGTTCAACTTTTTTTTGAAAAGGATTCATTCTTTTACTATATCAGAACAAAATTAAACTATAAAGTAGTTTTGGATTGTTAGGCCATGGTGTACGTGTAAGTATTGTGATCGAATAGTTTTATTTTTGTTCCCAGACAAGATGCGTCGCAGCGGTGTAGGAATCTTAGGGCGGGCGCGAGCGCGGACGCTCAAAATGACTGTCACCATAGTTCTAGTCTTCTTCACTTGTTGGTCGCCTTATTACTTTTATTGTTTATGGTAAGTATTTTTAATTAATCATTAATTTCAAAAAGGATAACAAAGATTGATTGATATATATATATATAGTAGGTCAAAACCTTTCTACGGAGAGGCCCATATCCAGCAGTGGACTAGTAAACGTTGTTGATGGTGATGAATATATAACTTATTTTGCCGAATACAGATTTCATCTTAAGACTAATGGATCAATCTGTGACCATTACTTTGTAAATATTTTATATAAATGCATATAAGGGCTGGAACTAACATCTTTTTATAGAGCAAAAAAATTTTGTAATCCAAGTGGAATTCGTGCGCCGAGGGTCCGCAATTTTGCCTGTAAAATTTTGGAATTTTAGTAACACAAAAATATTTAAAATATTCAGCGAATATTTCGAATACTCAATGCGATCTTCGGTCGGGTTTTCTTAGATAGAGGTGTATGTACTAAATACTCTGCCTCATAAAAACCAATATAGAGAAAATGCCAACAATTTCTTTTTTCTCTAGACCTGTTAAATATTTTATTTGTGTTGTTAAACTAATTGTCACTAACGACACGTTTCCAGGTACTGGATAGACAAGGACTCTTTAAAAAGATTGGATCCTGCCATCCAGAAGGCGATGTGGTTGTTTTCATGCACCAACTCATGCGCCAATCCTATTGTGTACGGAGTGTTTAATCGCAACCGATGGACGTGGCGAGCTGGTCGGGTGAGTTACTTCGCCAGTTTTATACAACACTCACTAATATTTGTTTGTAAATATGTGTTTTAGTTAGAACTATATCCCCTAAGGTAACAAACGCATATACCTTACTGTGAGTTAGTCCCATTCCCATAATTGGGGCAAGTCTATCAGTTAACTAGGTGCTTTGGGAATAAAAGATGGAAAATTCCCAAAGCAGTAAAAGTATATAAAATATGTCCGTGTAGTGACGAATTAAGAATACGGAATGTCACTACCCCAATTCATCCCGTGGGTGTCGTAAGAGCCGACTAAGGGCGCAAAACAACGCAAGATACCAGCTCTGCAAAAAGAAGGAAAACTTGACACAAACCCTATACCAACCCGTCTGGCCAGCGTGGTCCTTTTTAAGGAGAGGCCTATGTCCAGCAGTGGACTATTAAAGGCTGTTGATGTGATGTGATATAAAATATGGATGGATTGAGTGTAAGAAGAAATAACTCGAACCCAGATTCGCCATTTCTGTTGCTTCTAAAGACCAACACAGTATAGGTGCTAGCATCTTTTTAAATTCTTGATACTTTTGTAATCTAGCGACTGGCTACTAGACTACTTGTATTAACCACCACGCCATCAGTGTTATGGGTTCGATCCCCATATGGCACATTGTTTTTGTGGGCTAAAGTTAACTCCATGAATTAAAGTAATTATTTCAGTTGTGTACTGAATTGAGTTCAAACCCTCACCAAAACTGTGACAATATATTTTTTATTTATTTTACTAGTTAGTGTGTTACAAGCATGTTTAATTGAACTTTAAGCAAAAAAAGCGTGAATTAAATTAACCAATTCTCATAGATATTTTGAGAAGTAGTTGGCGATAGTGTCTAATATCCCCAGAAATTAAAACACTCCTATTTGATATATATCATTGATTTTATAAAGAATGTATTAATATTATATTGGTTATATATTATCTCTGAACCGCTACATGTATGTATTTTAAAAAGTAGATATATTATTAGGAGTATAGGGGCAATTGTTCTAATGTTAACAAAAAACGGCCTTTTGCACTCAACATCGGATTTCTATTCATTTCAAATTATAACATTAATTCTTAATAAGACTGTAGTATTATAACTTTCCCTATTTAATACGGCAAAAGTTATATGCAAATAATAAAAATAACTTGACACATCTCTTACAGGCCCTCTCTCCAAAAGTAATAACCAGACAGCTGATAAAAATACTTTTAAATACACACATATTATAGATAAATGCACACACAGAACATATGATCGTGCTCATCACATAATTATTGGTCCTGATTGACCTCTCGCTTAGCAGTCAGAGTCGCTAACCACTAGACCAACAGGCAAATATAACCAATATATAGGAATCGTAATGAAAAAGCTTTTTAATTTTTCTAGAACGGTCGATGTAGAAGTGGAAGTACAAGACGTGGTTCAAGACTCCCGTACGGTGAATCTATGGAGATATCAGCGGCGACCTTGGCTCGAGCGAGAAACTCATTAAGTATCGATCGAAACGGCAGACGGGACTCTGCTTACGACACGCAAAATGGAACACAAAAACATTGGAATACAATAAACAACAATAATGTTGTTGAAAACGGCATGGTGTAGTCTCGGAGACGTTTTAATATTTCGTTACGAAATGACTGCTAGAAGTGTGAAGGTGCTTAAAAGTTCCGGCTTTCTGTTTAAGGAATATTTTTAGAAGATATGGTGATGCACTCATCGTTACATGAAGAGCGTTTTGATATTATTTGACACTGTTTATTTTTAAATTTTCTACTCTGTGACGTAGTGATGTGACACGGTGATGTACATAAAATAACGATTAACGTTAACGAAGTGTCATTTTTAATCAGGTTTTAAGTTGTTACTTATTTTCTTAAAATGTAAGAGATAAAGCTTTAAGGAGTCTTGAAACATATCGGGGATGCGATAGGTTTAAGAGAGATCATAGTTTGTGAGGTTTGTGCCATGCCTTGAGAATTAATTGTAGTTAGTTATTGTTTAATGTTAAGCACTGATATGTAACATACCTATAAGCGAGTTAGCTATAATTAGCCCTTTTCGTTGATATGTAGTTTAAAGAGGCTGCATCAGTTGAAGTTGATTCTCGTTACGATTAACTCAAGCCTCAGTCGTGATTGATAATCCCAATTGATGTTCTGGTTCCTCGACACGAAAAGGATAGTAGCTTTCCAGCAATTTATAACATTCCAATAAGAACACGCTTAAGTTATTACGTATATATTTATTTAATAAGACTGACTGACAGACGATAAGTCCTTAGCAGGTATTCTGTTACCAAACACTAATTGTTATTTCTTTATTTTTTATTGTTTCGTAATATAAAATGTACTTTGGCTGTGAGGTGATAGAGACTCGGCTCTATATGTACATACAAAGAGATATGAATTTTTGTACCAAATGTTAATCCTAAGTTCATGCAAGAGCAAACATTTTTAATAAAAGAAATTAAAATCACCTTTGTATAATTTAACATCCACTCGTCTACATTAAAAATATTGTTTCCACACAAATATTTATTTAAATTAATATTAATTTTAATCCATCATAGATTTCAATAAATACTTTGTACTGACAATATAAAACTAGGTGTATAGAATACATAAGATGTTAAGATTTGTTCAAAGCCTTTCTTATTGATACAGTAAGAATACTGATATGCATCTCGTGTTTTCCCATTAAATGTCATTTTCAAATAACAATATCGTGATTGTACCCAAATTGCTGCCCAATGTTTATTCTTGACTAAAGATTAAAGTGAGGACTAGAAGCTATTACCAACATTACATCTACATAAATATGATTATATAATAACATTTAAATATTAAAAGATCTTACTAATAACTCTTAAATCTAATATTTGGCCACAATTGAATGACTTTCCCTCTGCCGCGGTCGGATAAACTTATTTATTATTTACGAGCTGTCGTATTGTAAATAATTCAAACTATATTATTACAAAGTAAAATAATTTTAGAGATTACAGTTTCACAGTATCTATTTAATATCTGTTTCACCTTTTTTTAAACTTGTGAAAATATAAATGAAAGGCGCCTCACTAGTATATGCTTTTACGTACGCCAGTATGGTAACACAGAAGATTACAGTTATAATTTTTATATCGTTTAAAACGATACCCTCAAATTATTAATAAATAATTATATAAAACGTGACCAATTTATTTGTATCAACAACTGGAATGCAAACTGTCTTTAACTTTACACCGATATGTACTAACAACAGATATATTTGATTTTACCAATACTGGAAATAAAAGTGTTATATTAAAATAAAAGCTAAACAAATCTAAAAATGGCTCTTTTCAACATGACTGTCTACACAAATGACTAACTACCAAATTTAATATCTGTACACAACGTTACAGATTTGGTAGCTAATAAAAAGGCAGTATACACTTTAGTCTAGCATAATTTCTTGTTTAAGTGCATATTTATGAACTTCTTATTTATTTTCATGTTATTATTATTGTCAAAGATCCGTCAAAATCTTTTACATTTATAAAATATGAACGATATTTTTTTTTATTAAATTTATAGTATTTTAACTGATGAGAAGAATTGATCAAAAAGTAAAGAAGAAGTAATCCAAACTTATTGCTTGAAGTATGGAAGAAAATAAAAAAAGAAATAGTATTGGTAAAATCAGACACTAATACATTATGGCACAACACCCGCAGTACATATAACACTTATACGCTCACTACATACACATTGACAAAAATGTATACATTCATACAAAAATAGATGGATAGTTTTTCAGTAGATTTTTCCAAATATTATCAATGCGTTAGGTATACCTATGTAAGTAGAAACGCTACTGATATAAAATTTACATTTGAAGAATTTTGGTCAAAAATTTGTAGAAATTGGCAGGAAATATTGTACGAATAAAATCGCTGATCATTTGTAGTTTGACAGTTTTTAAAAATCTATTCAGAACAATGTTATACACACATTCAGTTATTTATATAACGAATAACATTTAACTACGTTATAACATTTACAAATTTGCATACAAGTGTTTCAAGTATTATAGAGAGTCAAAGATGCTAAACAACTTTACAATATCTACGTATAAGTTACCTAAAATGGCACATATAGAACACACCGACATATTTTAAGCTCCAACACTTAATAAATAAATGCTTACTCATTAATATATAAATACTCTCGGGATAAATTTTTAAACAATAATTTTATAATACAGTGTATCTTAGATACAAAATAATAACGTTTTACAAAATTATTTCAACAATTGGTATCATATACTGCTACTTAAAAGTTCGAAGCGTATCTAACATAAGGTAATAAAAATAAACAGTTTAAATATCAGAAACACTCAAAAATCATACATTTCCTTACAAAATAACAGTTTAAGCTGGAACTTAATTCCCTACTAACAACAATATAGCATTATTTGAACACAGAACAGTTATGTTAACTGTTATCGGTAACGTTTATTTCTTGTGACATAATAATAATTAACTTTTGTTGCTATTACAGATTTCGAAATAAATTTTATATATGACGAGTTTATAACCTCACTACTACACACAAATGATTTGATTTCGTGTTAAATTTAATTTTGATACATTATTTCGAATCAAATGTTTCAATATGACCAAAATGTAAGTCAAAATTAAGAGTTGAAAAAAAAACCTAACAACAATATGTTGTAACAGGAACAGATAATTTTGTTTTCTCTACTCACATTTATCGTGTTCCGTGAGGAACATACTCTTTTTTATAATATGTTCCGTGTCTCTTTTATGTGTTAGTTACATGAGCTCAGTGGTCACCTTTCTCTAGCTCAGTGAGTTCTTGTGAGGGCACTCCATCTCTGTCATTCGCGGCGGCACGAGTCTTGTCGATGTCACCTTGAGACAGTGACGTCACAATGATGGCGCCCAAAGCGTCGCATACCACGTTGATTGTGGTACGGAAGCGGTCACTGTAATTTGAAAAAAAAAACAAATGTTAATAAATAGATTTAATTATACACGGGTAGAAGCTATTTTATTAGCATTACACACTTGTATTGATTCCTATGATGATCTTAAAGTATTTTCTGATTTAATTTATTTTTTTAAGTGCAAAATATAAATAAAAATGAAGTGAAAACTCCAAAAATACTTTCTTAGTGGGTGCTTATAACATAAAAAGCTCCAGCTGCTCTCAAGTTTGTAGCCTCAGTGTTTTAAACTCTGCCTTGATGAACCAGTCAGTCAATCAGAGCAAGTAGTTTTATATGTAGCGCTGCCTTAGTGGGTTCGATTCCCGGACCGGGCAAAATTTTATAGCTTAAGTTACTCCTTATATAGACAGCTAACTGTTCGTAAAATAGTATCAAAATAGTATCAAAATCAGACAGTATAGACAGACAAAAAAAGTTAAACTGGTTTTTAGACCTATGCCTAAATCGTGCAAAAAATCGTGTCAGCATGAAAAAAATCTATTGTTTCGACATTACAAATACACACCTTAATTTCATTTACTTGTATAGATGCATTCATTATATTATCACACATTGACATATAGAAATCGACGTGTGAGTTTGCGTGTTTAATTGCTGTAATAAGTCAAGAAATCAATCGACATTGCATTTCGAAAAGTAGACAAGAAACATAAACACTTACAGAAGCCAGTCGACAGCTAGAATGATGGAAACGTCCTCAGCAGGTAAGTTGACAGTATCCAACACCATCACCATAGTCACCAGGCCAGCCTGTGGGATACCTGCTGCGCCTATGCTTGCTGCTGTTGCAGTCACACTGAAAAAGTTGGGACAAAATATACTTATTATTCATTAACCTAATTAAATTGAATTTTTCTTTTCTAACCACACTAATTAAAATTATGAAGGATAATTTTTCGGTCAGGAAGTCAGTCAAATAGTCCGATAAGCTTAGGTAAATTAGCTAAAAGATTAGAAACACTAACAAAATGTTTAGCAAAATTACTAAAAAACAAAACGAAAATTTTGTTTTTTAGTAATTTTAAGGACTGAACAAAAAACTTTAAACAATAAAACAAGCTGCAAAATTGAAATTCTTGTATTAGTGATGGTACAATTTTTTGTTCTCTTTTATCTAAAATATCTCATATGGACTCATCTGATATTATCATGGCCTAGGCTTAGTTGAAACCGCTTTGATTAAAAAAGTAAATTATACCATTTCATGAATTCAAATCAAACTTACAATCTTTCACAAACTCACCTAACAGCAATGATCTTTCCAAAAGACATATCAACCCGTCTTAGCTGAGCAATAAAAATAGCTGCCACAGCCTCGTACAGCGCCGTACCATCCATGTTGATAGTTGCGCCGATCGGTATCACGAACCGTGTTATGCGTGGGTCCAAACCCATGTCGTCGCAGCATCCGATCGTTATTGGCATCGTGGCTGAACTGGAAGTAGGTATTATATAGGCAGATTAAGGAAAGTAGGAACTTTATGGTGAAAAATCATAACTGGCTATGAAATTTTATTTACCCATAAATTTAGGCATCAAAAAATTGTGTTAAGACCAAAATGACGTTTGAAGATATACTATGTCAAAACTAGTTTCTGTTCTTTTTCTACAAAATCAAGAGCTATATTCTTATATTGTCTAGGTAGATGTATTCACCATGAGCCCAAATTTTATTGCAATAAATATTAAATATTTAACTTCGAAATCCAATTAGTCTAGTAGTAAAAAAATTAAACTTACCTAGAAGCAGTACCAAAAGCTGTCGCCATGACTTGTCCCATTTTTCCAATATATCGGCATGGCAGCTTCTTTGTAGCCAGTATGAATAGAATACTTAAAGTCCCGAAACCATGAAGGAACAATCCTAGCAGAACTGTTACGAAGTATAGACCCAGTCTACCCACCAGGTCTGCGAACGAATCAATTTCCATAATCTTTGCTGTTACTAAGAAAAACACTCCGAGCGGTGATAGCCTGAAAATTTAAAAAGCAGGAGTTAATAAGAATTTCTATGATGGCAGTAAGTTACCAAAGGGACGTAAAGTAAGATAATATAATTTAAGAGAGGAGTTCCCTGAATACAAACACATTTGACTATACGAGTATTTATGATGAATGTGATTTATTGTACTCTGGGGAACTGCCTTAAATAAAAATTAATTCCAGAGAAAATTATTTAGAATATTGCTCTTAGTTAAGTCAAGAATTGATTGTTAATGGTTTTAACTCTCAGTCTTAGATCATTCAAGGAAAGAATAACAAGACTTCCAGTGTTATGTAATGTATTGGGCTGATCAATGTGCAGTACAAGATCTGAATTCGGCACTGACGCCGATCAATAATAGATTTGTAAGTATCGCCAGAAATACATTACTAAACAGGGAATGTATTACAATTTACTATAAGCTGTTGTAATCTTAATTACCATATCGAAGTATGACATTCTTACCATATAACCCATCCAGTGATGATCATCATGGCTTCCGAGAACGCATGGAAAAAATTCTGGAGCGGTCGACTCTTTTCTCCCATCTTACCGAGTGTGATACCCAGAACAATGCTGAAGCACACGAGTCCCAAAACATTGCTGCCGTTCTGATAGTCACCCCTTATCTCGTACGTTTCCAATGCGCCTGAAAACAATGGTGATTCTGTACTTATTGATATTTCCAAAGTCCTATTATTAACTACAATTCTATGAACAAAACAAAACCGGAAAAAGGAATGAGAAACATTTTTTTTTTTTTTTTTTCTTGCGGAAATCCCCTCGGATACCACCGTCGGTGGCATGTGGGACTCGAACCGACTAAAACCGCACGCCGTCTCGGGTACTAATAGCCGGGGAACCAGGTATACCCTAGAAAGGAAGTCCCTGGTGCCCCGACATACCTCGGGTCATCTACAGACGAGTAGACGACCCCCCCCCCCCCCCCCGTGTGGGAACCCCATGTTCCCTGTGCTCCCTGGAAGGCCTGCTTCTGCTAGGGTGACAGATGGCCTCACCTGTCACCCCCAGGCCTGCGCTTATGGAGGACGGAGGTCGTTTTGCGACCTCCGGCGCCTGAGTCGCCTGCGGTACCTGGCCCGTTCCCGGGCCTGGCGGGTCGGGAGAGTCCTAAACCTCTCCCACGCACTCTCGCTCCGCACGATAGCCGCAATCAGGCTATCGAGCGAGAGAACTCCCACTCCGATGGCCGCCACGAGGTCTCGCCTCTGCTCAACCCATGCCGGGCACTCTGCCAGCGTGTGGAGAGCCGTGTCCACGGTCTGGCCATCGCAGTGGTGGCACTCAGGCGTTGGCTCCTTGCGGATCAGACACAGGTGATCCCCGAAACATCCCTTCCCAGTGATCACCTGCGTCAATCGGTATGAGAGGGTCCCGTGACGCCTCTCGAGCCAATCCTCCATAACGGGTCTTACCGCCGCGAAGGAATGAGAAACCCTGACCAAAATAAAGTGATGACAATATAAAAAGAAAAAGTATATAATAAAAACAATGGATTTCTGCCCCGCAATAGGGTGCCCATCCATAACGGTTAGATACAAGCGAGTTCATTTGATTCCAACGCATGCTTCAGATAATGTTTTAGCTGGTTTCGCACTGCAGCAATATTAGTATAATAATAAAAGTGAAGTTTGATATCAACGACGTGTGAATTTAAAAAAATGTCCATGACAAAAATAAAAAATAAATTGTCGTTCCCTCGCCGAGGTTTAATAGTAATAACTAATAGTTTAGTAGTTTGGTAAAACATCAACAAACGTAATGGCAATTAATGATTAGCAGAAAACAGAAAACAGTTGGAATACCAATTGATTTAACAAATTTACGATTAAAAATGTAACTATAGCTCACCTTCGCGACTGTTATTGTCGTTTCGATCGTAAACAAGTCGAGTGCGGTAGGAGGCAATTGTTGCCTGTGCGATGTTCTCGGGGAACACATTCCTGAAACAAAATGAAATATCAATGAGAAATTGACAACCAACAGCTGATTGAATAGAACAGACTTCCCTTCGCGGCACTGTGCGACTAACGTGTGACTTCATATGCTAACAATTTAAATATTGTTTTCTGTGTTTTTCTGCGACTAGTTCCCGGTTTGCGGGCGGCTAAAGGTTGTGTATCAGTAAGTTTTTATTGTTTTTTAAACAGAAATATAGTGCTAAATTATTTTATTACGACTATTGGTGAGTAAATTTATTTTATTTCTAAAAGTGGGTAGGAGGTATCCTTTGTTTATATTGATTTTTCTCTGCGTATTGTTTATTTTTAAACTTGTTCCTTTTGAAATTGTTGTTTGGTGTGTCTTTGTTTGGCTATGTCGGTCGTTAGCGAGTTGCCGGACCCCGGCGGTACAAGTGAATTTCTAACACCAACCGGGAAAAGGACATTTAACGAAATGTCACCTACGGATTTCTCGCCGAAAGACAATAGAAGTAAACGAATTAATAATTCGGATTTAAGTGGAAATGTTTCGTCTCTTAACGGTCGTGATAACTGTGGGGAATACAATTACTGCGAGTTAGTCTCACAGGCTACCGAGTACTTGGCAAAAATCAATGAATTAGTTAATGATCAGGGATCTCGGATGAATGTAGGTAATAAAACGGCAATTATGGATATTACTCAACGAATTACCGGTATCGTATCTTTGTTAGCAATAAAATCCTCTAGCAACGAAACGAAGTTAGCGAATTTTGAGCGACAAATGGAGGGTATCGCAACTCAACAAACGAGTTTAACGTACGCGGACAAACTTAAGCTTCGATTACCACCTAAATCTGCTCCGTGCCCGGTACCTACTGAAGCGCGCGTTCCTAGGCCTTGTGTTATTGCCTATCCCACTACGGAACGCTTAGCGGACTATGCGACCTCGTCAGCAACGAAACAAGCTCTCATGAAGGCTATTAAACCGAGCGATGAGGGATTTCAAATTGTAGGCGTTAAAAAAACCTCTAAGGCAGGCGTCGTGTTACGTGTAGCTAACGAACGGCAGCTTAAGAAACTGGAATCTGTGGACGCCATTAAATCAGTAGGGTTGCGCTTAGAAAAACCGAAAGGCCGTAGGCCCCGTATAATTGTAAAAGACGTACCCGGTTCTATGGAAGATCGTGCCTTCCTAACAGCTTTATACCGTCAGAATATCAAGAACGAATTAAAATTAAGTGAGAATGATTTTATTAAGTCAACCAAAATTGTTAGGCATCGTAAACTAGAAAATGGGCGTCAATGGATAGGCGTAGAATTAGAGGCAGCAGTTCGGAAACATCTAGCCAACACAAAAGATAAACTTTATATAGACTGGGCCACATGTAGATTCATAGACGATATAGAAGTAGTTCGTTGCTTAAATTGTCAGCAATTCGGTCATGTACAAAAGTTTTGCACTATTAAAACCCCTACTTGTGCTAATTGCGCCGCCGCACACGAAACGCGAGCTTGTCCAGATAAAGACACACCAGATTTTAAGCCCACGTGCGCACAGTGTAAGCGGTTCAAAAAACCATCTGACCATCGATGCGGCTCATACGACTGTGCCACATACAAATTAAAACTGGAACAGCTAATATTAAATACCAATTACTGAATAGTTTAACTTAGTTTAAAAAAAAAAAAAAAAAAAAAAAAAAAAAAAAAAAGGTTTAAAGAGTAAATTACTAGTAATGAATAATATTTCGATAGGCCAGTTAAATCTTCATAACGATAAAATAGCTACATCAGAATTAGACCGTTTAATTTTAGAACAAAAGTTAGACATTGTCCTTTTACAAGAACAATATCAGAGCGCTCGCTTGCGTCGTAATGTAGTACAGCTTGACTGCCGTTCGCAGGCTGGGATATATGTTGCAAGTTCTAATTTTACGGTAACATCTTTGCGTAATCTTATGACGTCACACTGCGCCGTTGCTGAGATCTCATCCTCTACCTGTAAGGTTTACGTAGTGAGCTGCTATTTTCAATACTCACATCCTATTGATCCTCACTTACATCACTTACGTTACGTCTTGCAGTTCCTCGTGGGACATAAAATTATCATTGGCGCTGATGTCAATGCGTCATCTTCATTATGGTATGGCAAGTTGCGTTCAACCGACACGGTTCGACGTTGTGCGGTTGAAGATTTCATTGCGGAAATGAATCTTATTATTCACAATACCCCCGATGCACCACCAACTTTTTGCAACCCAATGGGTGAGTCTTCTATTGACGTGACGCTTACGCGCAGCGACGTCTCGATATCCGGATGGCGTGTCCTTCCGGACGCATCCTGTAGTGATCACCGCTTGATCGTGTACGAATTCACACCAAGGGTTGCACAGGATCCACAAAGGGCTCCCTATAATTTTAGATATAAAACTAAAGGTGCGAACTGGGCTTTGTTTGGTTCACTCTTTGCAACTCATACCAAAGACTTCAGTCGCAGTAGTTTATCAGCTGAGGAAAGCGCAGAAATACTATCAGAAACTTTTACATACTGCGCTGATGTAACTATTGGTCGCGGATCTATCACTAACACTCGTAGATGTGATTGGTGGAATGATAGATTAGCCGAACTACGTAGAAGCTACCGGAAAGCTCGTAGAAAATTAAACACTATTAAAAAACATAACGTAACAGGAGATTTGTACAACATTGCTCTCATTGCTCTTAGAGTTGCCAGGTCCCACTACAGAGCTGCTGTGGAAAAATCCAAGGGAAACTTAATTCAGAAACTTGTTAATAAACTCGATAGAGAGGGCCCGTGGTCACCTTTGTATCACGAATTTAAGGCAAATAGATCAATCGACCACGCATACATACAGAACATCAAAATTAATAATAGATATACCACAGGAGTAGAACAAACAGCAGAATATCTTTTAGACTCACTCGTACCTGACGATCGACCGGAAAACGACACTGATCATCACCGACAGATCAGGCAGTGGGCCATCGAACCACCACTGTCTCCAATGTCTGATTTACCATCTTCAGACGAATTTCTCGGTATCATTAGATCCTTGCCGCTAAACAAGGCTTCGGGTGATGATAAAATATCTAACAAAATGATAAAAGAAGCTTGTAAACTTTCGGGTGACACGATTTTCACTGTCTTTAAACGTTGCATTGCTGAAGGAATATTTCCTCGTATATGGCGGTGCGGTAATATTCGTATAATACCAAAAAGTGGCGACAAGCCACCGGATGATCCTAAATCCTACCGACCAATCACATTGTTACCATCGTTAGGAAAGCTTTTAGAACGTCTTGTAGTGCCCCGGCTTCTGCCAGGTGGAGTCAAATTTCATGATAGACAATTTGGATTTACGTTGGGTAAATCGACAACTGACGCTGTTATATCGGTTAGAAAGTTTGTCACAGAGTCAAAATTTCAATACGTGCTGGCTATTTTCTTAGATATATCTGGCGCCTTCGACAACGCATGGTGGCCCATGCTGTTGCTGAAATTAAAATCACGGGGGTGTTTTAAAAATATTTATTCCCTTATCTGTTCGTACTTTTCACAAGGTACAACTAAACTAAGACTTGGTCATCATTCTGTGTCGAAGGCGCTTACAATGGGATGTCCTCAGGGATCGGTGCTAGGTCCATACTTGTGGAATATCGGCTTCGACGATTTTCTTACGATACCAATACCATCCGGATGTACTCTGAACGCGTATGCTGATGACGGCTTATTACTGGTGGAATCTGATACTAGGGCGGGGCTTGAGAGATTAGCCAATAGATGTTTGAACTTGATATCTCAATGGGGTGAACGTAATCGCTTAACTTTTGCACCCAACAAAACCTTCCAGTTACTTTTAAAAGGTAACCTCAAATCACCGCCGAGCATTAGATTTGACAATGTCACTGTAAAAAATAAAACCACAGTGTGTTATCTAGGATTAGTTTTAGAAAGAAACTTTTCATTTATCGAACATATTAAAATAGTTAATGAAAAGTCTAAAAAGAGTTTCTGTGCATTGACAAGGATATCAACTGCGACATGGGGTCTATCATTTAATACATTAAAGATCATATACGGAGCTACTTATTTAGGTTCTATGTGCTATGGTGCACCTGTATGGGCCGATAGGGCGACCGTAGGCGCTGTCCGTCGCAAACTGTTACAAGGCCAACGACTTGCACTGATATTTTTGTGCAAGGCATATAGGACGGTTAGCACTGAGGCTTTGCCGGTGTTGGCAGGTGTCCTTCCGGTCGATCTCGAGGTGCAGAGACGTGCAGCCATGTACTATTCAAGACAAAACATGGAATGCGATTTCTTGGGCGCGCGGGATCGCGGTAAAATTACAAGATTGCTTCAACAGCAGTCCGATGTCTATAATGACCTCATAGACGAATGGCAGCAACGCTGGGACGAATCATCCAAGGGGCGCCATCTTTACCAATTTTTTCCATCGGTTCGCGAACGGTTGTCGAGGACATGGCTTGAGGTGGATCACTGTGTCGCTCAATTTCTTACGGGTCATGGTAACTTTAAGAGCAAGTTGTATTCATTTAAATTAGTCGAGTCACCATTGTGTCAATGCTCAACACCTAACTCTCATTATGAACAGTCTGCTCATCATATCCTCTGGGAATGTAGTCTTTGGTATAATGAACGTAATATAATGCTGAATAGCTTGCAGGTGACATCTGGGGCGGTATACTATGGGGATCTTGTGTCAACTAGGGTGAATTTCCGTGCGTTTAGGCGATTCTGCCATACATATTATAGAAATCAAATATAGCTCATGTAGGACCCGTAATATTTGGTGGCCGTGGTGCTTCCCTGTTTAAAAGGGTGTATGCCTATTTTACTTCATTTTGTCTCCCGCTTTGCTAAGGAGGGAAGTGGATTTACTGTATTTCCAACTCCTCCAATTTTCTTCTGATTAATTTCGTTGCGGGTTCCAAGACAGTTTAATTTCTTCCTGGGACTTCCCGAGTGTCATAAC